TAATAATTCTTTTGGAATTTTGGTATATAATGGAAAAAAATTGAGAGAAAGTAAATTAAGACCAGTTTCTTGAAATGCGATGAATTATTTAAAGACTATTGGTAATATTGGGGTGATTGATAATAATGGATTGGTTGAATATATTAAAACTAAATTTGATTCTATAATCTTAAATGTTGAATATCTTGAAGTTGAGGCAGATGAAGTTATTATCGAAAAAAATGGAAAAGCGATATATAAAAATTTTAAAGCTGAAAGTATTAGATTTAAACCTTATTGATTATTAAGAAAACGTGATTTAAGATTACATGTTTGTAATATTATTTAAATAATTTTTTAGTCATTATTTTTTGATGTAATGATATATTTTCATAATATGGTAAATTTTTGAGTCATAATTTTATAATTATTATGTCATTACAATTATTATCATGATTTTATAATTTTCGTATCATTACAATTATCATCATGATTTTATAATTATCGTATCATTACAATTATTGTCATGATTTTATAATTAATTAATAAATGTTAATTAATTTTGATGTCATTATTTTAATATATTTTATAATTATCATCATAATGAATTCAAAATGTGAAGACATATTTTCATAATTATTGTCATGTTTTCGTAATTAATTAATAAATGTTAACGTCATCATGTTTTTATAATTAATAAATGTTGATTAATTTTGATTTACGTCATTATTTTTAAGATGTATTTTATAATTATCGTCATCAAATATAATGATTTTTTTTATATAAAAAGATTGAATTTTCCACATAAATAATGTAATGGATAATGTTCAAAAAACCCAAGATATTTGTGAACAAAGTGAAATATCTTTAATATCTTTACAAAAAAATTCCAAGGAGTATTCAAGAAGCCACAAATCACATTCACAAGATGATTATCCAAGAAGCCGCAGAGCACATTTACGAGATCAAAGTAATCGACAGTCACATTCGCGGGATGATTATCCAAGTAATCGACGATCACATTCGTAGGGTCATCAAAGTCATCATCATTGATATAGGTGAAATGGGTCTCGACATAAATGAAATTCAGATCACAAAGAATCTCAACATGGTCGTAGAAGTCAACGTTTTCAATTTGTATTAGAATTTAAGAGAGATGAAAGTGTTAATGATAAATCGATTGAAGAAATTGATCGTGAAAGGATGGATATTCAGGGAGTGATGAGATGTTTAAAAGAAAGGGTGGCATATCTTAGAAAAGAAAAAAATAAAAGAAGAAGGCATGCGATTAGTCAACGATTAGTTGAACATTTAAATGAATTAGAAAATCTTGAATGAAAAAAAAATAAATAATAAAAAAATAAAATAATAAAAAAAATATAAAAAAATAATATAATAATTAAAAAAAAGAAAGTTGAAGAGAAGGAGCAGAGAATCTTGAATGAAAAAAAAATAATAATAATAAAAAATATAAAAAAAATAATATAATAATATAAAGAATTAAAAAAAAGAAAGTTGAAGAGAAGGAACAAGGAATATTAAAAATAATATAAAAAAATTATTAAAATTATTTGTTTATTTTTTTATTTTAGATTCAATCAATGATTTTTTTTTTTTCTTCTTTTTTTTTATTCTTCTTTAAGAATAGAAGAAAAATTCAGAAGAAAATTCAGAAAATTAAACTGAAAAAAAAAAAAAAAAAAGAAGATAAAGTAAAAAAAAGTTGAAATATTTTATTGATTTAAAGTAAAATAAATATATATATAGTTGAAATTTCTTTGATTTAAATGGAAAAAAATGTTATTATCTGATAAAGTTTTTAATATGCCAGAATTAAATGCATTAATATATTTTTACTTAAATGATATTTTTTATCATTTGAGATATAGATTAGTATGTAAATGTTTTAAAAGTATTGGTGATACATGTGAAAAAATTATTTTATTTTCTGTTTATTTGGATTCTACTTTTTGTATAAATTTTAATTTAGAAGAATCCTTTAAAATTATTTCAAAAGAATTGATATTGGATAATTTTATAAATGGTTTTAAGCGTTTACCCTTTATTGTTTGATTTAAAAATTATAATATTGATCAAAGATTAGAAATTGTGGATGATTGTGATATGGGGATTTATTGTTGTGATGATTCTAATAATTTAGGAAAAAAAAATTTTTTGAAATCAAAAAATTTTATTAAAGATTATGGTAAAGGGTACTGTGAGGATTGTCAAAAATATACGTATGTTTATTCGGGTAAATATAAGTATATTTATTATATTTATATGATAATATATAATATATTAATTTAACTTAATAATAGGTATCGATTGTTTTAAATATGCTTTAGAAACGTTAGAAGATTGAAAATTTAAAAATACTCTAAATATATATAAATGTAATCATCATTTTTTACTAGAGTATTATATTCTAACATTTTTAATATATTAATTTCAATATAGTTTAACATATTAATATTTAAACTTAAACTTCTGGAAAAATCTAGATTTTTAATTTGTATATCATAAGAGTATTTAAAAGCAATTAATATTGTTCCAATTAATAATAAATGTGGATTTTTAATTAAATTATATAAATATTTATCAGTTTTAAATATATCAACGTCAGTTATTTCATTATTTGTTGATAATATTGATTTATCATATAAAATAATTGGATAGTAGGTACCATTTAAGATATTTTCATAATTTTTATTAAAAAATTTGTCTATTTTGGTCATATAATAAAATGCCATAATTAATACGTCATCTGGACATCTTGTTTGATTCAATATGTATTTTATTTTTTGAATATTTATTTCTTCATTATAATTTTCTTTTAAGAATTTGAAGGTTTTTTTAATATTGTGATCCATTTTTTATTTTTTATTTTTTTGATATTTTATATATTTATATGTTTTTATGATTAAAAACCTTTCTCATGTTTTTGATCGGCATGATCGATTAAACAGTATTACCCATGAGAAAGGTATAATAAAATATAAAAAAAAAATAATATATTAGCGAGCGATTTTATTTTATGCAGTAAATTTAAAAAAATAGTGATTTTGATTTTTTTGATCAATTTTTGTATTTTTGTTTATTTTATATTATAAAAAATTTTTTTAAAGTAATACTCATGAGTGATTTGATTTTTTTTTTAAAATTTTGTGAGCGATTTAATTTTGTTCATGTGATAATAAAAAAAAGATATAAATAAGTGTTATGTGTTGTGTTTATCTTTTGTAATTTAAATATGTTATTAAATTTTGATATTCTTTATATTGTGTTCAAATTATTACATTTCAAGGATCAGTCTAATTTTCGATTTGTTAATAAGGAATTTAATGATATTTATATACGTCATTTCGAAGATGTTCGTTCGTTGGATCCTGATAGGTATATGTTTTGTAGTATTGATATTTCTCCTCAATTTTTTGAGTTTATGCGTATTTGCAATAAGTATATTATATTCAATGTTGATGGGAAAGAGGTTCGAAGAAAGTTCAAGTATAATAATAGGATGGTATCATACTCCAAAATTCCAACTAAAGATCATTCAATTATACGCAAAATAAGTCAAAAAAATATAAATTCTTTTAGAAAGGATTGTTGTCAAAATTGTGGAAAGTTTGATTATTATTTTGATTATTTATGTTTTGATCCAGATAAACGATTTATATGCCAATCACACGTAAATTTTGTAAAAATTGTAATGAAAAATATAGGGATGAATGTGTATATAATTATGAAAGATTCAGATTTAAGTTAAAGGTTTTAGATCGTCATTTTATTCGTTTTTATGATATGAATGATAATCTTATTTTTAAACCTGATGGTTTTAGATGTTATAGTAGTAAATTTGTTTGCTCTACAAATTTTGATGGTTTGGTTGATACACATTCGTTGAGTGGATATCAAGGTTATATTATAAGTATTGGAATCATTAAGTCATATCGATTTTATTATAATGATATTAGATTATAATATTGGTTTCTAATATTTAATAATTTTATATTTATTTTTTATATAAAGATTGTAAAGTATTTAAAAAAAAAATTGTCATGGTTAAAAAAAATAAAAAAAATATTAATTTGAAATATAATGCAAAAAATAAGATGATGCAATATGTTTGTGTTACTGAATATTATTGTATCAATTGTCGTGAAGAATTTAAGTGTATGGGCTCTTATGATATAGATAAATATATTAATATAAACAAATATAGATTATGTGATGGTATTCATCGTTTTTGTGATAATTTAAATTATAAGATGTGTTGTGAAAATATGTGTTATAATTTTATTTGTCATTTATGTGAATTAAAACATCAGAGATGTAATGATCTTAAATGTGATAAATGTTATGTGATGACTAGATGTAATTCTATAAATTGTTCTCAATGTTTAGAATTGGATATAAATTGTAAGAGATCAATTCCTATAACTGAAAGAGATTTTCAAAATTATGATGAAATTATATATTCTATTTGTCAATTTGAAAATTGCCCTCGGACTGGAAGAATTCATTTACAAGGATATATTCAGTTGAGTAAATGTATGCATATGAAGTCAATTAAAGAGTTATTAGGTAATCATATAATACATTTGGAATCAGCTCGAGGAGATTTTATTGAAGCATCTAATTATTGTAAATCTGTATATGTTCAGAAGAGTGGAACATATAGGGAGTTATCAGAGAAAAATAGAATTGTTGATGATAATGGAATTTGGATTAGAAAATGTATATGTAATCCAGATGAATATTATGAATTTGGTAATCCAAATAAACATAGACGTTTGATGAGTAATAAAGAAGCTCATAAAGAGATTGATGAAATTAAGGTTGATGATTTACATAAATTAATTTATTTGCGTGATAATCAAAATCTTACATATGAAGAGTTAGTTTTAAATAGTAATTTACACCCAAGTACATGGTATAGTAATCATAGGTTGGTTAAAGATCTTTATAATGAAAAAAGAAAAATATTAAATGAATTTAATAATATAGAATGGTTTTGGAAACTGATAGTAATTTATATATATGGACCAGGTGGTAGTGGGAAGAGTGGATTAATAACTGAATTATTTTCTGATATTATGTATAGTAAGCCAATGAATGATCATGGTGGTAAAAGTTATTGGAATATGATGGTTTAAAATATTCATTTGTTTTTTTTGATGAATTTTATACTAAGATTTCTTGGGGTGATATGATTAATTTATTTAATGATATACTGTTTATGGTTGAAAATAAATATGGAACTTTTACATCTTTTATTCCTAGATATATTGCACTTATTAGTACTTTGCATCTTGAACATGTATATGCATATAAGGGTGGAAATGGTGAAGATAATAATAAAAGATCATACGAACAATTTAGACATCGTATTGATTTTTTAATTAGATTAGATGGTCAATGGAATGATGATATTGAAAAAAGGACAACAACTATGGATGTTGAAATTGGTAATGAGGATGATTTTCGTAATATGCGTTGATATATCACATATTGAAAACATAAAAATACGATTGAAGAATTGGTAGAGAAAATTACAAAATTATATAAAAATGTTAATGGTAAAATTGTTATAGTTGATGGGCAAGTTAAGTTTTTAGAAAAATTTTCTAATTATATGATAAAATATATGTGAGAATATCCCAATTGTAAAGATTTATCTGATTATAGAGAAGATGATATTAAGAGATTGAATTCAAATGATTGTGAAGGTTCGACAAAGCGTTACAAATATATTGATAATTAAATGAGTTTAAAATAAATTTATATAAATTATATAAAATTAATTCTTATATTGAAAATAATTTTTATAATTAGAATTTTATTTATTAATAGTAAATTGTTATATCAGGTTAGTTTTTTTTTTAAAAGAAATCTATTAGAGTTAGTGGTTTAAATTTATATAAATATACTAGAAAAAAGATGAAATATTTACAAAGAAAAAAAATGAATCACAATGTCAAATACTTATTTACATGATATTATTTTTTATTATCAACAATTATCACAACAATTAAATTATAGAAATACACCTATCTTATTTCGTAAAGAAGGATTTCAATGTTTTCAAGAAATTCTGGACATATGTATCAGATATGGACTTGATGTTTTTGAATTTGAATA